CCAAGGGGCAAACTCCAGAGCCCAACCTCCCCTTCCCCTGGCGGCGCCCGGGGCTCACGGGACCGCAGTTCCCGCCCGCCCCCCATCCCAGTGACAGTCGGCCCAGCCGAGAGGCGGCGCGCAGCCAACGGCACCCCCACCCCCACCCTAGTCACGACCTAAAAAGGAGAAAGTGGTGCCCGGCCCCCAGCCTCACCTCCGCAGACCCCCGAGCCCCGGGACTCCCTTCAACCACTGATCCCCTCATCTCTCACCCCAGGCTCGCTGCCCTAAAGTCCCCAGACTCAGGATCCCTGCGCCCTTCCCTCACAGATCCCAAGACCCCTTCCCAGCCCCGCACTAACCTTCCCCGGACCCCCCCGCACCCAGCGGGGGGGCCTCCTTTTCCTCCCCGAACACCAGCTTAAATTCCAGCTCCTCATCCTCGCAGCTCGCTGCCCCCATCGGTCCGGCCAGACCCCCCCAGGTCCTGGTCTGGGTGGGAGGGGTGATCTCAGGAGGCTTCAGTATCTTGACCCGTGGCTCCCTCCCTCCCTGCTCTTAGACGCCCCCTCCTCTGCCGCTGCCGCCTCCCTCTGGACGCCCCCTCGTTATTATAGAAACTTTTCCAAACTTTTTTCCCCAAACTTCTTCAAAGTGCTCCCCCCCCAGCCTGTCCCTGATTGGCTGCCCGGGATGCTCCAGCCCCTCCTCCAGGGATGAGATGGGAAAACCACGCGCCCCTTGTCCTCCCCCACCCTCCTTCCCTGTGTCCTCTCTCCAGTCCCTCCCTCCTAAAAAAAAAAAAAAAAAAGCAAAACTGAATTGGAAAACGGTCCCTCAAGCGTGGCTGGACCATAATGATGCCTATTGGCCCGCAGTTGTGACAATCATTTCCCTCAGGGAGCACTACCACCACAATCCCCAACCTAGTTTAAGTTCAGGGGCTCCGGGTCCCAACGCCTTAAAGGGGCCACATTCTGGGCCTCAATGTAGAGGGCCCATGGAAGATATTTTCTTAAGTTCTGAAGAACTGTTTAGCCAGCCGCTAGCAAGGCAGGATCACCTCTCCTCCCCTTTCCCTCCAAGCCCAAGGCCAGGCAGGCTATGGGGTGCAGAATGGCTCCAGGTTGCTCTGAAGAGGAGGCCATTCCTTTGGAGCCCCTAGCCTGAGGTCGCCCAGCAGAGGCCTTCTGAAAACCTTTGCTCTGCCGAATCAGCCCCTCCACCGGTCATCTCTCCCCATTACCCCAAAGTGAAGAACATTTAGCAGTCTTGGGCACTGTTCAAAGGTCCAAGGCCCCTAATGGGCGATGATCCAGGCCGGGCTTTACTGCTGCCCTAGTCCCAGCCACCCAGAGGGGCCATTAATTTGCCTCCGCGGGAAGTCGGCTCCCTCCTCCCTAGAACCGTAGTCTGGAAGGAATCTTAGATCCGATGGCATCCCGCTCCAGCTCTCCTGATAATCCTGGCCAGGTTTACCAGAGCCCCGGAGTCCAACAACCTGATGGGCCCCAGGGTTGGACACCTGTCACCTGGGCGGGAGGAGGAAGGAAGACTTGGACTGGAGTTTCGAGGAAAGGCAGGCATGGTGTGGCCCTGCTGTACAAGAGGGAGTTAGATCCGAGATGAGTTACTCAGGCGCCGGATTGGGGAGGTGGGAGGTGTTACCCTTTCCTCCTGCGCAAACCGTGTACTTTAAACCTCTCTAATAGGCCGCAGCGATCTTTAAATCCCTGCCGCGCAGAGCCGCGCCCCCAGGGACGCCCCAGCCCTACACCTAAAGGGTTAAGCGTCGGCCCTCGGGTCAGACGTTTACAAACACTCAGGAGCCGGGCGGGGACCGCGCCCGTTACTCTAATGAGAAACAGGCTCGGCGGGGGCCGGGGAAGAGGGGAGGGCTGGCCCGCTGGGCCCGAGCTCCGCAGCGGCCGAGGCGGCTCCCCTCCCTTCCCTCCCTTCCCTCCTGTCCTCTCTCTGGCCCACCCTGGGGACCCCCCCCCAGCCCCGGGGGACCCCAGTGACGTGCGGAGCTGCCCCGGCTGCGAGCCCTGGGCCGCGACGCCGGAGGGGCGGGGAGACGAAGCCAGGCGAGCGGGGAGAGAAGAATTTTCCGAGGCCGAGCGGGGAGGCGGCCTGGTTTGATTTTTCTTTCTTTTTTCCCCGCTTTGGTTGGTCTCCTCAGATTACATTTCCCTTCCAGCTTCAGCTTGGAAATAAAGGAAGGAGAGACCCACGAGAAGGGAGAGCGAGGAACACCCTGAGATGGACGGCCAGCCTCCACCTAAAAGAGGGGCAGGGGGAAGCGGGAAGAGGTGGAGACCTCGACCCGTCCCCGGCACCGATCCCCCGCGCTCCCCCCACTCCCCGCCCCCCGCAGCACAAGCAGACGTGCACATTCTTTTCAAATGTCATATTTCCTTTGATCCTGGGCAGCGTTTCTCCATGTGTCTGGCTCAGCTCCTGCCCAGCCCGCCGCCTCCCCTTCTCACCACACTGTGTATTTTCCTGGAGGTCCCTCCCCCTCCTCCCAGCATCTGGAAGGCCCTGAGGGCTGGCGTTGGCGCTCATTCCCGTGGCGACTCTGGCCTCGCCCTCCAGTGACTCAATTTCCCCTCAGCGGTGGAGGCCAGGGGGTGGGTGCGGGCAGAGGAAAGAGTTGTTGAACGTAAATGTGGTACGCAAGAGCCTGCAGACTGCTTACAGTGCCAATCTTCCCTCGCGGGGAGAGCAGGGGGGCATCCCCTCGACTCTGTGAAAACCCTCGGAACTCTCTGGGCTGCAGAGGAGGGATGGAATTTATGACTTCTGCAATGTCCTGCCTGGGGAAGAGAGGGTAGTTAGGTTTAGGTTGCCCTACACTTCTGCCCCCTGGCGACGACAAAGACCCAGCCGCCTTCCCTCCCTCAGGTCGGGTTTCTCTCCAGCGGGGCATTTGTCCTCGCTCTGCTGCCCTCTAGCGCGCATACCTGAGCACAGCTCCGCTTTCTCACTGTTAGTGGAGCAGTTTGATTTCTGCTCTGCACTTACACAAGCATAGTTCAAAGGCCTTGGACGTGGACTTGTTTTTTTTTATTATTATACAAAATATGTCCTTGCCATACAAAAATATATAGTAAACTGTATATCCCCCCATTTTGTGTACATTTATTAATATATATGTATACACGTCTGCTCCTTTTATGTACATCAGACCATGTTAACAAGAGTTTTTCTTGACGTGCTTTTTTTTTCTCAGTTAGCAAACGGCTTGGATATCTTTTCTTGTCAGTACGTGTGCATCTGAAAATGGTGATAGAAGCTCCCATCTCTTCATTTGCGCGACAGAGCTAGGTCTGGAGCCAGGCTTCCTGGGTCCTTGTGCAGCGCAATTTCAACTATCCCACGTTTTACATAGGAATCTGTCTTAGAGTGGGCTCCCCACAAAAATCAGGGCCTGGGAAAAGAACAAGATGCAGGTAGTTTAGAGCAATCACAGGTACAGGAGTTGGGGACTGGAAGAATGAAACTGGGAAAGAGGGAAAGCCATCCAAAGGTAGATATGGAGCTGGTTGCCACTCTGAGCGACTGAAACAGTGTCCCACTGGGTACACTCTGTGGAGCCATACAGAAGGCGATTCAAGAGACAAGGGATATTTATTCACTCACCCTCTTGCCCAGTGGTCAAAAGTTGCCTTTTAAGTGTTGATTGCCTCACTCTTCCAGGTTTAAACGAGTGTCAGAAAATGGTAGGTGTCCCACAAGCAAAGAAGCCCCTGGGCAAGAGGCAAAAGCTGCGGGCAAGGACTGTCAGGTGACCCGGGCAAGCAGTTGGTTGCCAAAGCAATAGCTGGAGTAAAAATTGCAGTATGTCTTTGTTTCTCCAGGGTTGAAGCTAACAGTTTTCAGGTATCTCCTTCATTGAAAAAATTTAAACACAAACACTTCAAGTTTTTACATAATGTAGTTTATATTACTGCATAACGAATCACTTCCAAAACTTTGTGGCTTCAATCCATAATGATCATCTATTATCTTTCATGGATTCCGTGAGTAAGAAGTTTAGACAGGGTGAAGTGAGAAAGGCTCTTATCTGCTTCACAAAGCCTGGTGAGAATTGTCAATATGAGAATTGTCACATGTCTAACAGTTAATGTTGACCACTAGCTGAGACTTTAGCTAGGGCATTGGCTGTACCACGTACACGTGACTGCTCTGTGTGGCCTGGGCTTCCTTACAACATGGCAACATTGAGAGATCTCCAAGCAGAAGCTCCATCCTTCTTACAACCTAGTCTTGGAAGTCATTTTATGTTATTGGTCAAGGCAGTCACAAGCCCCTGACGAGAATCAAGGGGTGAGAACATAGACTCCCACCTCTGGGTAGAAGGAGTATCAATTACACTGTAAGAAAAGCAGGTAGAATTTAATAAACACATACACATAGACATCTTTAGAAAATAAAATCTCTCCCAGTCTGTTCATAACAAGCCACATCCTTCCCACACTCATCCCCTCCCTATAAGACCTCCAAGTCTCATCCCATCATGGCACCAAGTGCTGGCACAAGGGCCCAGATCTCATCACCTAGATCCTGGGCCTCAAGCCTGAGCAAATGCTGTGTAACAAACCATCCCGAGACTTATTGTTTCCTTCCAGGTAGCTATTATCTAATTGGGAGACAGGGTGTAAACATGAAAAGTTACATACTAATAAGAGAGTTTAACAATAACCAATAATTCAGGAGCTGTAACAAAGCAATTCTATCAATAAGACAAGATTGGTTGGAAGTAATAGAAACTGACTCCATATAATTTAAGCAAAGGAGGAATATACTGAAAAGAGAGATCACAGAACTAAAAGAAAAGGAGAAACAGGCTTCAGGAAGGATGAGGACCAATGGTTCTGGGAAACTAGTCATGAGGACCTGAAGCACAGTCTCTTCATGGTGCTGGACATTTTCAGTTGCTGGTGTGTACCCAGTCCTTCCTACTTCCAGGACTTCACAGATGCTGTTCCTCCTGCCTGGATCTCTCTTAACACACAACCTTCTTTGCCTAACTTCTATTCATCTCTAGATCTCAGCTATAATCTCATAGCATTCTCATAGCATTCATAAGACATATCCCAAATGTAATAACTGTGTAAATACTTGTTTAGTGTCTGTGTAACCCACTAGAGTGTAAATTCTCTGAGAGGAAACTTCTCTGTCTTATTTATCTACCAAAGTCTCTTATTTTTCCACATTTCATATGTTTAACAAACCCTAGTGGAAATAAATGAAGACCAATCAAATAAGAACAGGCAAAAGCCATTTATTCAGTTTGCTCTAGAGAGGGCGTCAGCCACCATCACTTGCATTTTGGCACAGACTCAGTCAGGTAAAGGAGTGAACGGGAAGCTTTATTGTGGGAAAAGAGGGAAGGCTTCAGGTAAATCCTGATTGGCAGCTATTGGTAGGGCATCCTATGTGATTGGTTAAAGGTACATTATTTGGTTTTCTCTGATTGGTCCTCAGTTGGAAGCAGGCATAAAACGTAGGGAAGCTGTCACTTATTAATCAAGCTTTGGCTGTTTGGGGAAGACTGTTGCAGGACTTATTGTTTGGCTTCCTAGGCTGGTTGCTAGAGATAGTGGTCTGATTTCCTACAAGTCTGACTTATAGGCTACTGTAGATAAAGGACTGGCTAATTGTTGCATATTGTAGGTCAGAATTCTATTTTTATACGTGATCTAGCCATTGTCCATTTGTACATTCAATCCTTCATGTTTATTGGACA